TATATAAGTTTGCGGGTGTGTTTAATGTTGTTGGAAAATTATTATTTCTTGAACAATATGCTCTCCAGTTTGTTTACTCTATTTTTGTGATGCATACCAAGGTATTCTTTTATTTATTTGTTTTTAAGTATAAAAATAGGAATAGAACGTTAGTAAATATAAAATGGCTAGAAGTTTCCAATAGATGCTCTCTCAGTTTCATTCCAAAACGCTTTTGGAGATTTTTTTTAAATCCCTGAACACACCTGTACTGTTTTAACTGGTGTCAACTATTTTACCTTTCTATTTTCTAACATCCATTGCAATGGCTACCCCAAAACTCACAGGCAAAATGCATGATTAAAGAGTTTATTAAGAATGTTAACAAGTTGTAATGCCAGCGAGAAATACTCACAGTAGTTGTTGACTAGAACAGTTTACACAGTTTCCTACATCAGCAAGTCTAATTTACCCACTTGAGTGCCCAGAGGCACCCCACTCCACAAGCTGGGATTCTGCACAAGAGCACTCATCCCAATGTGCTCTGTTGGTTGGGAAGTCTATCACCCTGATCCATGCTCTGGCTCTCCTGTTTCTACTGCTGTTCTTCTGACAGTATAGCTGTTGTTTGGCTCCAAGAGGTTCACTGCTCAGGACCTGAGGTCCAGAGGACATGTTCCATTTCTGCCTCTTGCTGGTAATGGTGTCTTTCTTCTTAATTCTCTGAGGGCTCATATTATACATTGCAGGATGGCACTCCGGAGAATCCTATTTGCTCACAGATGAACTGTATCTTCCCTTACCTGCTTATCAAACTCATGCACAGGAAGACATCACCCAAATGTAATCATCTATTATCCAACCCTGGATTGTATCTTATTTATGCACATATGACCTGGGGCTTCTGGCAAGATGCTTCCAGTAGGCATTGACTCCCTACTAATCTTTATCAGCCAGGCTTTTTCTCAGGTCACTCCAAAAGCAATTTTCTTTCTTCTTAGAGCTGTAGGCTATAATTCCTTACATCCATTGTAAACAACAGTAACTCAGATAAATATTAAGCCAAGAGTGTGGTGCCGTTCGCACCTTCTAATATATGGTCAAGATGATTCCACACAAACTCAATGGCAGTTTTTTTGTTTTGTTTGTAGTAAGGTTAGAACTCAATCTCATCCCCTTCCCATTTGTTAGCAGATAATGTCCTCCAAAATGGGGTTACAGCCACAGATATAAGAAATCCAGAATTATTATGTTTCATATATGGGATTATGTGTGGAACAGCCATATTAATCAAGTATAACTCACACCCTAAAAACGATGTCAAACTATCTAATGAGAACATCCGAGAAGATACTTAATGGACTCAACTGTGAAAATGTTGTTGTGATTAGGCGTTAAGTCAATTTTGCCTTGGAGAGACAGAGAAAATCACTGCCAGCATCTGCACTTTTCTTACAATCACTTCTTTCCTTTGAGCTGATTATTGCAGCCACTGTAACAGTCCATCTCCTTGAAAAGTCCCTCTTCCTCACTGACCATCTAACTTTAGCAGATATTGTAACCTTCTCCACAGATTTCCCCTCCTGAAAATACACCAATTTCACTTGTAAGGAGCAGTCTGACTGCACTTCTTCCCAGACAGATTTGTTCTTTCTTCTGACAGTCTATGGGATGGTCTATAATCTTCTTCAACATGATTATTCAAAGACAGAAATTCTTCTTTGGTCTTCCTTATTCATTTTCCATATATCCTCATGCATATGAGTCTCAAAGACCCAAAGGTCAACGGATTAAACAAAGGATTGGACTGATTAAAAAATAACTAGCCTTTCACTTTCAGCACAGGAATTATTATATGAAACAAACTACTTGGAAAAAATAGGAACAACGGTGTACTATTTACATTTTGATGTGCAAAACCATGATCCATACCAACATGATGTTTACATAATTTTATAATTAATTATATGGAGTGATACCTTGAGTATATCAACATATTTTTATAACCATTTTGAAAATGTGATTTCATGATAACATTCAAGCAATAAGAGGTATGTTTCATCAAGGGCGAAGACCTCATTCTGGTTTTCCTGAGACTGTCTGAGTCTTAAAACCGAAAGCACTGTGACCAGGGAATTACTTCAGTCCTGGCAAATTGAGAGAGTTGAGCACCCTAAGTGAAAGGTGAGCCCTACACAGATAAGTCACTGTTTATAATAACAGGCAATTGAAAATCGATGGAGAATTACAGGGTATAATAGAGTAATACATCCCAGATACAAGTTATCACCTCAGAAGACAGAGGAAAGTGAGAATTGAATGGGGATATGTTCAAAGCATATATCTCCAACTTTATACTAAGCATGACTTAATATTTTCACAATAACTAATGAATCAGACTAATGATAAATTACATTATTTGATAAAACACAGATTTAGAAATGTATAACCCATATTTGAGATTGCATAATGAGCAAAACCATTTCAAAAATCCATTTTATATCATAAACAGAGTAGGATAAAATTTGACACTTTGATTAATAACTAAAAGCATACAACAAAAAGTAAACAATACAGGCTATACCTTTTTAAATAAAAGTTTATTGAAAGTTATATGGATGAGATAAGCTGTCAAAAAGAAAGGAAAAATGAAACTTATGTTGTTAGATGTCATCAAATTTGTTTTGATTCATAGTGACCTTATGTAAAACAAAATGAAACACTGTAGAGTTCTACACTATCCTCATAATTTTTTCTTGTGTTTGAGTCCATTGCTGCAGTCATTGTGTTAACTCACTGTATTGAGGGTTTTCTTCTTTTTCCACTGAGCCTCTACCTTATTAAGGATGATGTCTTTTTCCAGGGACTGGTCTCCCTTTATAACCCAAAAATCAAACTCATTGCCATCAAGTTGATTCTGACCCTTATTTATCCTATAAAGCAGGATACATATTTCTCATTGGCTTTCTGAGACTTAAAATCCAAATAGGAGTAGACATATTCATCATTCTCCCTCAGAGAGGCAGGTGGATACGAACTGATGTCCTTGTGGGAAGCAATTCATTGCATAATCCACTAAGCCACTAGGTCTCCTTTAGTCTCACCTGATAACATGTCCAAAGTATGTAGGACAACATCTCCCAATCCCCTATCCTAAGAAGCATTCTCAAAGTAATTCCCCCCCTTTCACAAGGTATTTTTTAGCAGAGTTAGCCAGTTCAGTGTTGTTGTTAAGTGCCATCCAGTCAGCACCAGTGACTCTTTGTACAACAGAATGAAACACCACCAAATCCTATGCCAATCTCATAATTATTCTTATGTTTGAACCCACTGTTCCAGCCACTGGGTCAGGCCATCCAGTTAAGGGTCTTCCTTTTTTTTTGCTGATCCACATTGCCAAGAATTTTGCCAAGAAGCTATGTCCTTCTCCAGCAATTGGTCTCATTTGAAAACAGGAACAAAGTACATGAGACTCTCACCATTGTCCCCAAGCAGCAATTTGTCAGTACTTCTTCCAAAACAGATTTCTTTGTTCTTTTGGCAGTAAATGGTACTTTCACTATTCTTCACCAGCACCATAACTCAAATGCATCAGTTCTTATTAGGTTGGTCTTCCTTATTCAATGTTTAACTTTCACATTCATAAAAGGCAATTGAAAATCTCATGGCTTGGGTCAGGCGCACCCTCATCCTCAAAGTAACATCCTTGCTTTTTAACATTTTAAAGAGGTCTTTTGCAGTAGATTTACCAAATGAAGCGGATTTTTCTAATGCAGTGCTTGGTTTGATCCCTTGACTTGATGCTACCATGAACACTGATTGTGGATCCAAGCAAAATGAAATATTTGGCAACTTCAAGGTTTTATTCATTTATTATGAAGTTGACTATTGGTCCATTTGTGAATATTTGTGTTTTATTTATATTGAGTTGTAACCCATGATATCCTTCATCTTCATTAGCAATTGCTCCAAATCTTCATAATTTTCAGCAAACAAGGTAGTGTCATCTGCATATCACAGGTTGTTAATGAGCCTTCCTCCAGGCCTGATGCGGTCTTAATATAATCCAGTTCTTCTGATTATTTTTTCAACATACAGAATAAATAGGTATGATAAGAGGATACAATGCTGATGCATACTTTTCCTTGTTTTAAACCATTCAGTATTCCTTTGCTCTGTTCACACAATTGCATCATGGTCTATGTACAGGTGTTTCATGAGTACAGTTAAGTGCTTTGGAATCCCCATGCTTCTCAGTGCTATCCATAGTTTGTTATGTCATATTGGATAGTCAATAAAACACAAGTAAACATCTTTCCTGTATGCTCTGCTTCCATTTAAGATCTATCTAATATCAGCCATGATAACCCTCATTCCACATCCTCCTCTGAAACTTGCCTTAGCCCCTGGAAGCTCCCGGTCAATGTACTGCTGCAACCATTGTTAGATAATTTAAAGTAGAATATTGAATCTCTTCTGATGTGCACTTTGATATTTTCATTTTGTCCTGCCAACTTTTAAGGACCTTCTGTTTTCTTTCTGTATGATATTTTTTTAAATAAATCATTTATTGGGAGCTCTTATAAATATTATAACAATCCATAATTCAGTTAGATCAAGCATAATTTTACAATTGCTACCACCATTAGTTTCAAAACATTTTCTTTCTTCCTGAACTCTTTGATATCAGCTCCCATTTATCTGTTCCTTCCACACCCTACCCCCAAGGAATCCTTATTAATGTATTATTTTTATTATTTGTTGCATCTTACACCATCCAATGTATCCATTTACTACAGGTATACAGTCATCAACGCTATCAGCTCCCCCTTTCCTCCCTTCCTCTTGTCTCTTCCTGTACCCTCAGGGAATCATTACTGCTATTATGGTTTCTGAAGGTTTATCTATCTTGTCATTCATGCCTCGAATGCTCTTAATTATACAAATGAGCACACACTGGTCCAACAATGAGGTAAAAAAAAAAGACCATAGAAGCCTTCCACCTGCTGGCATTCGCTTTCACACTTGCTGTGGGACCGCCAGTCTCGTCTCCCTCCAAATGGACCCCAACTGTTCCTGCGCCACTGGTGGCTCCTGTAGCTGCTCTGACTCCTGCAAGTGCAAAGACTGCAGATGCAAGTCCTGCAAAAAGAGCTGCTGCTCCTGCTGCCATGTGGGCTGTGCCAAGTGTGCCCAGGGCTGCATCTGCAAAGGGGCATCGGACCAGTGCAGCTGCTGCGCCTGATGGGAGAGCCGATGTGAATAGACTGGCCTGTCCAAAGCCAGAGATTCTCCCTCAGATGCCTTTGAATTCTTTACTAACTCCTTTTTATTTCTACAAAATATATGAAAGATGATCATAAAAGTTGGTCAATTAAGAACAAACAAAAGACCATAATAATAAAGGGAGGAGATATTAATGAACTAGTGAATAGTTTTGTGTTTCATCAGTGCTATACTGCTCCCTAGATTTATTATCCCTTCCTTGTGGTCCTTATGTGAGGGACTGTCCAATTATTTTACAGGTAGATTTGGGTCTCCACTTTGTCCACACTCCTTCATGTCAATTTGATTGCTTGCTTTCTTGATGTCATTCCACAACACAACTGACCTTAAGTATTAGTGTTCAGTGCATCAAATATGTTCTTGATATGGCCTCTAAATTCAGGTGGGATATACTCAAGCTCATATTTTAACTCTCATGAATTGCTTAATGTTTGTCAACTTCAACCGGAACTTGAAAATGAACAATAGATGGTCACTTCCACTATCAACTCTTGGGCTTATTTGGTTGTTAATATTGAATTTCTCCATTGTATCTTTTCATAGATGTACTTAATTTGGTTCCTATGTATTCCAACTGGTAAGATCCACATGTATTTGTGTTATTGAAAAAAATGGTGTTTGTAATGATGAAGTCAATGGTCCTGCAAATTTCTATCAAGCAATCTCAGAGTTGGTTTCTAACAGAGAGGAAAAAATTCTCAACTACTAATACATCCTCTTTGTTTACAAATTTTGAGTTCTAATCACCAGTAATTATCAATGCATCTGATTATATTTTGATCTTTTTTTTTTGACTGAAGAAGTTGGTAGAAATCTTCAGTTTCTTCTTCACCAGCTTTAGTGATTAGTTCCTAAATTGGAATGGTTTTATTAACTGTTTTTTTTTCTTATAGACATATTTATATTATCCTAACGCAGTCAGCATTGAGCTTCAAGAAATATCTTGAAATGTTCTCTTTGAAGATGAATGCACTATAATTCTTCTTGAGTTTCTCGTTCCCAGCATATTAAGCATGATTGTATGTTTCAAAATAGTTACTATCAGTCCGTTTCAGCTCATAAATTCCTAGAATATACATTTTTATTCAGTCCTTTTTATTTTTAATGACTTCTGAATTTCCTAGATTCTCTCTTTGTACATTCCATATCCAGTTATTTATGGCTGTTTTTAGCTGTTTGTCTCATTTTGAATCATTTCCCACCAGCAAATGAAGGTCCTAGAAGCTTTGTTGCATTCAAGTCATTAAAGTTGACTCTATTTTGAAAAGGCATTTCTTTTTAGTCATATTTTGAGTTCTTCCAATATAAGAGGTTTATATTCCAGCATTATATATGGCAATTTTCCACTATTATTCATATTGTTGCAATTACCAATCCATGAGAAGTGGACACATTATTCCTTCTTCCAAGCTTTTCTTAATCTGGAAGTTCCACTGAACCCTGTCCAACTTCAGTGAACCTGTTGTTATATAAAATGTCAGTGGCATATCATTAATCATCAAGGCAATGCACAGCCAATTCAGTACAATAAACTGAAAGACAGTTGTGGGCAGTAGTGAGGAGAAATGACACATTGAAAAATCCAATCAATGAAATAAATGACATACTAGAAAAATCCAAGAGTTTATAAGAAAAATATAAAATGATGTGAGAAAAAGAAACTACTGTATACAAGCACTCAGGGGTGAGTTCCAACTAGTATGGCAAGGCCCAGACAAATCCAGAGGTACACATGGTACCCAAATAAAAAGGAGGCGGGGGGGGGGGAAGAGAGGGGGGAAAAGAGATGTGTGGTGGGGGAATAGGGCACTGACCCACCCAAGAGGAGGGTATTTGTGTCTCCATAGGGAACGAAAGACCAGACAAAAATCCAGTGTTCTGGACTGCAAATGTAGCATGCTGGCTTGGAGTGGGGAGCCAGTGGAGGGGCCTGAGGACTCTGTCCCCATACCAGCTATGTGGACAACTGCCCCTCCCCCCAGAAGAATTTACTTTAGAGGATGGCACTGAAGATGCAGCTAGGGGAGGGACATGTCTGATCAGAACACAGGGGAGCAAATTAATGGTGAGGAAGAGAGAGTGGAGCATATCCTGGCCCACCAATAAAATGATTTTTTTAATTAAAAAATAAAATGATAAAAATGACAGAGGAAAGAACATTCATATTTATCTTTCTATATAATTTCTTTTAAATTAAATTATTTTTAATTTTTGAATTCTAAGAGCAATTGTAAAATATTTTAATCCTTAAAGTTATAAAGAAAACAATTTAAGTAAAATAAATATATCACATTTTTACAGAAAAAAAGAACATTGTGGTTAGCAGCCCAATGCTTAGCTCACTAAACTGTTAGGATTAGTTAGCTAGTTTTGACCATTGAAACAAATCAATGCCATTGTGTCAGTTCCAACTCATAGATACCTTATATAGTTTTATTAAGGCTGATATAGTTTATATGTCTTTAAGGGAAGAGATAACTTCATCTATCTTCCACAAAGAGGCTATTCGGTTTGAATTGCTGAAATGATCGTTATCAGCTCAATTCATAGCCTGCTTTATCACCAGGACTCCTTCTGTTCACTTCATCCATCAGAAACTCAAAAATTCAAGCTCACTGCCGTTGATGTTGACTTAAAGCAACCCTTTAGGACAGGGTGCAACTGCCTCTGAGTTTCCCAGATGGTAACTTTACAGGAGTACAAATCCTCTTCTTTCTTTGCAGTAAGCAGCCCAATAGATGACCATTGCATCTCATCCATTTCTGTGGTCAGTTGAAGTGTGCTCCCTCCAAATATGCAGCAAATTGGCTTAGCCATTTTATTCATATGGAGTGATGTGATTACAATCAGAATATCAATTGAAATAGAAATATGAATTTGTGGTATTTATATAATCTGGTGTCAATTTGAGGATTAAGCATGTATGGGTGGAATCTAGCCTGTCAGTCCGGATAAAGCCAATGAGGCCTCTGTGTGGGAATGGCCTTCTCCTGAGGATTCTGGGAACTCCTCCATATCTTTCTGGGAGGCAGGATGTACGCTCTTTCTTGGCTGACTCCATGGGATCCATCCCTTTGGACAAGGCACAGGGAGACAGGCTGATGGAGCCTGACCTCTGGAGCATGAGAAGCCACAAGGAGACCTTTGCCAGCAATGAGATGCTTACACCACCATTGGATCCACAAGACTTCCCACACACTGGCCTGTGATCTTCCTGTATTCAGCATCATTGAATGTGTTTCCTGAGTCTGACAAGGACTTTACAGATTGGTATTGGACACATGGGCTAATATTGGACTTAAGGACTTAATCATGTCTGGGCTGGGATGGTCTCTCAATATTCAATTGCTCTTGTATATAAACCTCTTTCCTATACATATATGCATGTCTATGGATTTGTTTCTCTAATCTACCCAGACAAACACATTATGGTACCTTGGGAGTGGGGTACCAGAGAAACAAATAACAAAGATGGAGAGTGGATATTTGCTTGACTTCCATTCATGGTAGTTTTTCTTCTTTGGCTAGATAGAGGTCAGATATGTCCATGCAGCTTACTGTTTGTTTGGTTTTTTTAATGGAAAGAATATGGGAAATTAATCTTTTGATTATTTTGTTTGGTTGTGGTCTTTGGTTATTTCTGTGTGAACTGGCAAAAAACGAATGTTGTTAATGTATTTTATGAGCACATTGGTAGAGATCACCCCTTGAATTTCTCAGAGACAATGCTGTGTAAAGAAAATGGCTGACAGAAGGTCAAATTGGTTGACTTGACAGAAAGCCTGGATCTGGCTTGATGCTGTCAGAGGCCTAATCCTATTTTGTATCAGCAGACTAATTTAGATAAGGATTAAAATAAGGTAGATAAGGATTACACTTGATTGTTTTAAGAATTGAGTTTACTTTCTGATTTTACTTTGTGTATACTGAATTTTTTCTGTTTATTATTGTTGATATAAGGATTTATAAAAATTGTTATGGGGAAGTATGAAAATAGAGAGTTTGTAAGCCTTGCCTTGAGCCATTAAAATTTGATCTTTAAATGGGTTTAGGACATGCTTGCAAAGAAGGCTCTGAACAGATAAACCCCGCCCAGTGCTTTGGTGTACTCTGGATGTTTGTACTCAGAGTCTTGCCCAAGGGGTCGTTGCTGCTGACAGATTGAAGGGGGGGGGGAAAAGGAACTCTTTGGATATTTGAATTTTGAAATTGTGTTTTTTGTGTCAGAAGCTGGAAAAACCTGGAACCATGAAGAAAACTCTTCTCTAGGACTGAACATTAAAGCGAGCCTGTGACAGCCTGAAATGCTTGCTAGGTGATCACCTGGGATGTGTCTGGCCACTGACACCCGTGGACCTGGTTTACAGGAACTAGTGAAGAAGATGAGAATGGGTTGACTGGTCTGAAGTTCATGACCTAGCCCAAGGGGGCTAGGGTTTTTGAGAATTTGTGACAGTTCCCATGGTCTAAAGCTGAGGTTACCAATGGGCACCCTGGTGAGACTAAGTGAGACAGCCCACATTGAGTTGAGTAGAACATGACCAGATGAAGAGACGATTTTTCAGGCTGTGAACTAATGCACACTGCTGCATACTTTATGAATGGCCAGTACTGATTTGACGTTACTCATGGATGCAGACTCACAAGGTTCAAACTGGAATGAAGATTCTTCTCATCAAAGAATGCACTAACTAATCTATGTCAAGAAATTTTCAAGACAGTTTATGAGCCCTGTCGAGAAGACACATGGAGCTATGCTAGAGCGCAGGAGCTGGAGGAGACCCCTGCAAGCGCTGAAATGCTTCCAGTGCCACTGTGTCCTCAAGAATTTCTACCCACTGGCCTGTGATCTTCCTGCACGTGGTGTCATTGCATGGGTTTCATGAGTCTTAAGAGGAATTTATAGAATGGGATTGGACATATGGGTTAATATAGGACTTATGGACTTGAGCTAGACTGGGTTGGGATATTTTTTCAAATATCAATTGCACTTGCATATAAAGCTTT